GAACATAGTGAAACGAATCTCTGTTCTCTGTACCTCTTTCGAGTCACTTCGTACCTCTCCTTACTTATACTTATATACTACTTATATACTTATAGTATACTTATAGTTATAGTATACTTATAGGTAGGCTGCCGTAAATGATACAGCTTCCGCCGCGGAACCGGTTTATGTTGTTGAACCACCCGCTACCGCTGAACAAGATGCCGCTCCAGGAGGGGACTGATTGATGTTTCCTTATCCGCTGTTTCGGGATCGATTTATGTAGCTGATACAAACAACTTATTTAGCTGAACCAGTATCAGATACCATTTCTGTTGCTAAATCAGCAAAAGATAAAACTTCTGCCAAATCTGATGCCGAAGGATCTACTACTTCACGTAATTATTTAATTCACTGCGTGGTGGAACGAAATATGTTTCCCGGTCGGGTGAATCGGACGATTGACAAGTCTGATGTCGCTGAAGAGAAAGATATAAAAAGATAAAAGATGATAAAAGATATAAGTAGGCTTTCACCTAATTGGTCCCAGAGCAAGATCGGACCTATAACAGCTTTTTTCGTAAATAGCGAAAAGGCCTAGCCAAGAATAAGCTTTTCTCCGGCATTTACCTTTATTCTTTTATTTCATGTCGGTCCGTAGGGTAATACGCTAATCTATTACATAAAGCCTTAAATACCCTCTACTTGTACAGGGCTAGAGACTAGAGGCTCCCCGGGTAATCAATCTATGTTAAACCTCCCAGGTAAGGTACGAAGTCACTAGAGAATTCGTTTCACTATGTGAAATAGCTAGAGAGAACAGAGAACAGAGATTCGTTGAACTATGTTACACTCATTTCGTTGAACATAGTTCAACGAATCTCTGTCAACTCATTTGAAACGAATCTCTAGGTACGACCAACGTACGTAGTCGCTCGAAGAGGGGAGTCCCTCTCCCGTAGGTCGAGTGACTTCGTACCTCTCCCGTAGGTCGAATGAGTTTCACATAGTGAAACGAATTCTCTAGTGACTTCGTACCTCGAAGAGGGGAGTTGCTCGAAGAGGGAAAAGCTAGTTTAAGGAGATGGAATTTAATATTTTCTTATGAACATTATATACGTTTCAGGGTTCACACACAAGTACGACCAGTGCCGCCTTCCCCAACAGGAAAGATGCTTATTATCTATCTACAGGCACGTGGGGATCACGAACGGAAGGCATATTCCCTTTCAAGAGCATAAGCGACTACCCTTGGTCTTGTATTTCCACCTTTAAAGCAGCCCACCCGCCAATAAAGCAGTTTTGTGCGCAAGCCCCTTCCTGCCATAGTAGGCATATCCTTCCGGGAAAGAAAAGATATGTTGAACTCAAATAGACGTATCTGGGCTGCAGAACTTGACCCATTCCTTAGTCTCACTATGTTCAACTAAGCCTCATAGAAGCTCGACTATTAGTCTACCTACAATACTTCAAACACATAATAAGATGAATTAAGTTGAATGATGCGACCAAAGAATACCCATAGGAATTTGGTGGGATAGAGTAGGCAAAAGAACTAATGGTAGAAAATGGCAGGTTAAGTTGATAAATCCAAATATTTTAATTTAAAAAAAGGAAAAAAAGGGATAAAAAACCATTTTTTAAAAGAGATTTAGTTTCCATTTCTAAATAGAGTGAGTTTATTATTGCAAAGCTAACAACTTGAAGGAAAACAACAGAGTAAAAAAGATTCTAAAAAAGCAATATATTCAAAAATTGATTTCAATTATGGATTAAAAAGCCAACCAACTTGCATATTCAAATTTAAAAATAAAACTACAAAAGAAGTGTGATTTTTGAACAATTACAATAGTAAAGATTATAATAATATCATTATTCTAGTGTTTTTTAACTGTTGACGAAAAGAATAGCAACACGGTAGCCTAACCTCACCATCACCACAGTGCAAAGGTTGCTCCTCGGCATACTAACCCGCGGGAAGAAAATTAATTAAATATATGCAAAAATATGCACTGATTAATCTAGTGATCTCTCACATTGGCACAATATCATCTGGAAAAAGTGGGAGCTTGAAAGCCTGGATAAGATCCAAAGCCAAAGAATGATTGAACACGTACCACACATTTCAATATATCAAAACCATGAACATTACTCAATCATTTCTATGCTCTTTAAAAGAATGAAGAGAAGTATATCTGCATATAGGTTAAATTAACATGCCATATAGGTTCCAAAACTATTTGCTTATTTGTGGAGATGGAATTCAATGATGAATTCCTCTTCTAGCCTGAATCTTTATATATGCAAAACCTGTGAAGTTCCCATAGCCATTTTTCCTTTAGTGTGTGATTTCTTGTAGACATGCTAAGTCCATTTTATTATACACCGTCAAATTGGAAACAATAAAAGGTCTGAGAATATGGTCCATACTCCGCACTGACCCGTAGATGCTTGCTTCGTCCATACCTGTTCGAGCCGCCACCTAATTAAGGCATATATAGGCAAACACATGATATGGTTGAATATATATATCTAAATACAGACATGAACATGTTTAAAAAAGTGTGTTGATGAAAAATCTTTAAAAATTAAATACGTAGAAAAAAATATATTGAGCATCCACAACACTCACCACACATCTTCGATCGTAATACTTGCTTCCAATTCCATAAAAATTACTCTCTCTTATATGCGTTATGTTATGCTACTCTGTACGTACTTATTGGTATAATGTGCGGTTACATTCTTCAATTAGTGCCTTAAACTATCCGACCCAAAACCGCTCAGTATTTAAGCGGGAAGTGAATTCCCGCTGCTGTTGTAAATATATAGGGGGGGTGGGAACCATCATCTTCCTCGTTCCTTAATCTGTCTCTCTTCACAACTCATGATTATTCCAATTCTTCCGACGTTAATCTCATTTCTGCTGCCGTGTTTTGCGCAGATTCTGTTTTCAAATCCATCACCCTCCTTCTCCTCAGGTACCAACAACCACTAAGTAGTTTCATTTCACGTTTCTTCAATCATCAAAACGTTAATTGAGAATATATATATATATATATATATATATATATTGTTCTGTTCTCAAACATGGCCATGAAACTTACAGTAAAAAAACTGCAAATTGAAGTGTTTTTTTTTCTTCAGAAAACCTAGAATCAAATGTTTTTTTTTTAACACTTTTGTTTGGTAGAATCACAGAGGGGTTCTGCACCGAAGCTGAAGCTGCCATTGGTGGGAGACGATGGGAGGGTTTACGCCTGCTCGGGAAGAAACTTCTTTGCCTTCGAGAGTAACGGTTCCATCGCTTGGAACTTGCCTCTTAACCACACCTGCAGCCCTATGATTGCTCCTGTTAATGGCGGTTCTACAAAGGCAAGCCAATTAATTCTCCATCCCTCTCTCATTACTTCTCCTTCCAATATACATTGCCAATTTTGGTTTGGTTTAGGATAGATGTAAAGAAATCTATGAATGATTTGGCAAGTTCTAAAAGATCCATATATGATATGGGTTTTGAAATTTTGAGATGACCCTTAATTCTAATTGTGGTGTATAATTGCCATTTATTTGTGTACAAAAAAGATACTCTATCTAAAATGCTTAAAAGTTTGTTACGTTTCATTTTTTTGTTATGCTTCATTTTTTTGCGCATTCCAAAAACACATCTACTCTATCTAAAATGCTTAAAAATTACCACATTTATTTTTTATTATGGATAAGAGTCGTTTTGAATATTTTTTTGGCGTTCGAGACGATATAGAAGTATTTTATGGGATGCGCAAAAAATGAGATGGGGAGGGAGTATATTATAGATGTTGAGTTGGGGTCTTGGTAGATATATGTAGTGGCAGAAGATAGAGTTTTGAAGATCAACCCCTTGAAAGCCGGAGGATCATCGGAATCCGCCGTACAACTGTTTTTCGGGGCGAAACCGATCGGGGGCAGCGGCGGCGCAGAGAGCAAGAGCTGGGGAGAGATTGTGGGGATTGGCGTGAGCGTGTTCAGCTCTCGGGTCCTCATCACCGTGAAGAGAAGAGGACTCTTTGCTTATAGGCTTCAGGGGAAGCTGGCCTGGAGCGCCGGCCCCGTCAAGAACCAGCACGGGTTCCGCCATGGCTGCCGCAAAACCCTAACGGACTGTCATTTCACTTCTGCCCCTGTGATTGATCACTGTGAAGCTCGTGCTTATGTCAGTCTTCTTCTTCTTCCTCTCAGTACATTTCACATTTGAATTTGCATTTAATACCAATTGTGGCATCAAACTATTCAACTTCAGGCTTACTTGTATGAACCATCTCTACATGACCCAGGTTTTGAACAATGGGGGAGAACTGTATGCTGTGTCTACTAGCAACCCTCATTTCCTATGGATAACAGATTTGAGCTCTTATGGTAACATCTCTACAATTACTGCTGGGAATAACGGTCTGGTGTACGTCACTGTCCCAGCTGCAGCAGCACTCATCCTCGCGATAGACGCCTCTAAGGGTAACGTTTTGTGGCAGGGAAGTATTGGGCCACTGAGTTCTGCAGATTACACCCCCATCGTTGATTCTAATGGTAAAACAATCTTCAAGATTTGAACATGTTGTAACTCTTAAAAGAATCATGTTTTGCTTTCTTCCACAGGGGTAAGGTTTTTGTTGGGATTATATTAGGTTTTGTTGTTGTGCTAATGTTGTTGAACATGAAAAATCAGTCTTTCACAGTGTGGTCTCCTGATGTACCAGGTTGGGTTTCGGTCGGTTCGTTGGATGGATTCGTGTATTCGTTTTCACAGACCGGAGCTGTCAAGAAGTTCCCTAGAGTGGCTGACCAAGAATCTGTCATCCAAGTTCGCCCTATTCTGGACTGCTCAGGTTTTGCAATCTATGTCTCTCAGACAGAGATGGATGAAAAGGTTAGCCAGAGAATTGGGGATTATACGTACATCTCAGCTATGAAACCAAGGTCTGTTACCTTCACAATGCTCGTCCCCGCCACCGGATCTTTGCTATTATCTGAGAAATACCCAGGTAATCACCGTATTTTCAGCAATAAAATTACAATCCTTAAATTGTCATCAATATATTATTAACACTTAAGGTTGTAGTGTTGTACCACCTAATTCATTTGATTTCGTTGTTCAAAACTCAGCCGGGACTCAGTAGAACTTGAGGTGTCTATTCTTGATGGTAATCGCAGGTCCATTCTCATCGAAGCTACTTAACAGTGATCTGAAGCATTTTGATTGCGATGAAAAGGTTGTTCTTGCTTTTTTTGCAGCATCAAGTGAGTGGCCCAAAATAGATTCCATGTCTTTCGCGCACTTGTTTGATACGAAGCAGTGGCTAATGAGAATTTGATTTCCTGCAGGGATTAATGACCCTTTCCAATGCATTAGCAAACGTAATGATGCCCCCCGGGCCTTACTTGAGTGGGACAAACTAGGGTTCGTTTGGTTAATCCCTTCGTTTCGTTTACTGGGCTAATCGTGTATAGCTGTTTTGCTTTCTGTTCAGGTCAGAAATATGCATTCAGTTGCTCACAGATCAGACCAATGGCTTACAACAGCAATTACCCGGGTAAGCCAACTTTGTGTTGCTTTCTTCACCTTCGCATTGACTGGTTCACATAATTTCCCACCTCTGCATAAATCTCAACCACACAAGTCTATGTTTCCTCAAATCCCGTGAAAAAGTAAATGGAAAGTTTAATTTGGGACGGAGGGAGCAATCGAATGTGAAATTTATCCCTTAACAACACTTATTTTATTTGATTTGGTTCAGACAATGAGAGGGGAATCGTCTTATTTCTGTTATTCGAGTCGACTTTGTTACTAGTTTTAGCCGCACTCGTAAGGTTTTGTTGCCTGTTTTGGAAGAAGAAGAAGCTCCGAAGTCGCCAACTCGGAGAATTCCTTGAAAAGAGAGTAATGCATCAACTAAATTCACACTCAATTTCCCCACTGATACCTCCAAACACAATGAAGGTTTGGTTTGATCGCCAATGCCATAACTCGGTGCATTTTTTATTGTTTTGTTATTCGTCAGCGTGCTCTCCAACTCCAGAAGAAAGCCTTTGACAGGACAATATCAGAACTTGAGCAAAAAGCTACAGAGGAAGCGGTAGGGAATGAAGTGATAGAAGAGTTGGGAGATTTGGTGAGGGAAAGGGAAGGCATTGAGAGAAAGCTCTCAACAACATATAGTTTTGGAAGAGATGAAACCACATACATGAGAGGTAAAAAAAAATAGGTCTTAAAATTTTCTTGCTTTTGGGATCATCATGTGTCTGTTTGACAACAACTTCGACGTTTAGTTTTAACATTTTGAAAAGATTATCGCACGAAAGCATTTAGTTATTAGCTTTTTCAAAGTTAATCAGCACCATTATAAAAAACCGGAGTAATCCAAAACTGAAAACGTTGTTCCCAAATGAAGCTCATATCTGATATCTCGGACAACGATAAAAAATGTCTTAACTAGCAGACAGAAAGGGGTGTTTGGCAACTGACTTTTTTTTGGTGGGGGGGGGGAGGGAGTTGTTAGAGTATAAAACCTATTTTTGGCCTACAACCACAAGCATGAGCTCTTGGTTGAGTTGGTTTCTTGACATGATATCAGAGCCTAGCGAGTTAAAACCTCACTGCCACCCAATTTTTTTAAGAAAAGAACTGTTTGGCGGAGTTTTTTTTTTTTTAATTTCAGAAAATTAGTTTACTAAAGCATTTTTTTAAGCTTTTTTGGTTAACAACTTTTTTCAAACAACTTCAAACAAAGTAGTAAACCATTAATCAATCATAGAGCATTAGTACATTACTATATCTCTTCATTGCATGGAAGGTTCAAAACCAGTGCTGCTTCCTCTGTCTGATCGAACAACACGGAGCTACTCTTTTCAAGACAGGAACAAGGAGAGCATCACTCTCTTTCACACTGTCACAGATGCTTCCTCCGAAGATAGCCAGTCGGACATTGCTGAAGCTTGGATTAGCAGTGCTGATGATGTTCGCGAAGGAGATGACGAGTACGAGGCTAGCCCATCAAGCTCGGGTTCGGGATCATTTGATGGAATAGAGGAATCTGCACCAGTGGCTCGCCAATGCGTTTTGACGCGAAGGATGAGACCTTTGTCATCAAGCAGCTGAGGTTTCATCATGCAATGCCTTAGAGAAGCACAGTGCTGTGCATTTTTTAAAGGCTATTTCTTTACTAGACTCAGTTTGTTGATACTTTGTACTGTCACATTCCTTTGTTATTTACTTTATGTTAGACAATAATAATAATAATAATAATAATACTTATGATAGTTTTAGTTAGGCTCTTCGTAGCACCTCACAAAAGAGCAGCCGTGATCTCACTTGGCGCGCCAGGGCGGCATGGCCGATCAGGCGCATACCGCCCCCTTGCTGCAGTGTGAACTTTGCAAGAGGGTTGGCATGGCCAGGGCCCTGGAAAGTGGCACCTTTTTATTTTCATAAAGAATGTTGCTAAATCTACCTCTATTATGGTTTAATTCACTTTATTTACTTTATTTAAATGAAATGAGCAAATTTGCCTTTAAAATGTTGGCTAACATTCTTCTATTGTTTCTAAGGCAAAGTTGTATATCATGTCATAAATGAAGATAATAAAGGTGGGTTTAGCAAGATCCATTCATAAATTTTATTAAATGTAATTGAAAGAGCATTGCAAAATGCAAACCTCTTTGAATGATGAACATTGTTTAAGTATCAAGTGAGAAAGACTGAAATAGAAGTAAAATTTATGAAAAGAACTAAAATAAGGTTTTCATTTTTATTCCCAATATAGAACTTTTAATGCCAACATGGAATACTGAAAATACAATAAAATACTAATTTACAATATCACATTTTTACAGTGCAATATTTTTATTTAAGCATAAAAATATGTTACTCATAATTTGAGGATAAGTGTTATGTTTTATCCATACTAGCATTTTGACCCGTGCGATGCACGGGGTCGAACGAAACTGTTGTCGATTTTGAAATTTTTCAATGTAATTTTTTTTTGAAATAAAAAAAAATTATTTCTTACCTGGTTTTCAATACTATAGACGAAAATTCCAAAGTCGAATAAATAATATTTGAAGAATTGAATGTGTATTTAACAAAGTGTTTTTTAATACCAAATTTTGTGATAGATTTTAGGATATTAAATGTTTTTGGTATGGTTGCTAGGATTTCTATTGTCATCTAGAACCAATGTTTGTAATCTTGTCTTTACCTTCAGTCTTGAAACAATAACATAAAGCTGGCCATGAATGAAGAATAAATTGATTAAATATAATCCAAAAAATTACAATGTTGATATTCACTTTTGTTGATAGTCATTGCAAAACATAAAACTATTGAGAATTGTCCTCTCTAGAACTTCAGTTGTAGTTCTGGATCAGATGGTACCAAATTCATCCGAGATATGTAAACTTTTTCTCTGACTCTATTTCAGAAAACCATTAAAGCATCGATAACACTCTTTCGCAGCTATTCAAATTATTTTGGTACCCCTTTTTAAAAACTATTTTGTTTTTGACATCTTCGAACAGTTGAATTTATTCAAAATCTCAACTGTTATCCAATCGCCATCAACACTTACATCTAAATCTGCCTGACATGAATAATCAAAACTCTTCATCTCCAAGAATGAGGGATATGAAAAAATCATTTACCATTTCTACAACCTCAAGCATGGGTTCTAGTAGTGTCCTATCCTCGAAAAAAGAATAACTTTTTAGATAAAAAAATATTAGTAATCCTATGATTCTAAATGAAAAAGTGTAAATACATTTGGTAATTTTTTTTATTTTTTTCTTTTACTTTGAATAAGTAACCATTCAAGCATGTGAAAACATTATTTTTTTAATTTATTTGATTTAAATAGTTAATCATTAAAAAATAGTCTAGGTGTATTTTGTTTTATAAAATATTAATTTAGAGATTTAAATATACAGGAGTATTTTATATATTTACGTAAATGTTTAAATCAATAAAATAAAAACTAACTTCATTTAATAAGCATATCATAAACAAATATAAAATTTATTTGGAGACAAAGAGAGTATCTTTTTTAACGAAAGACATGTTATTTACTTATTGAAAGTTTCTTATAAATGAAATGGAAAAGAATGTAAAATTAAAAAAATACTCCAATAATTAAAAAGAAGACCTATGTCCCATATTTAAATTTATTCGATGATGTTGAAATCATAAAGAATATTTATGTAAACATAGTATGGTATGGTGACACATATTTTGATTAACTATATTCTATATTTTAATTTAAGTATCATTTGCTAATAGATAATTAAAAATAATATATTTATAAATTTAGATCATAAATGGTCTAAAACGTGATAAGTTTTCTAGTCATTAAATTAAATCATAAAATTAATATATTTAAACTACCAATTATGTGTAGTATTTTTTCTAGTTGAAGATTAGTATAACCCAATCATCTAGTTTTTTTAATTTTTTTAATATATTTTTGAAAATATATTCTCTATTTTTAATTTTATATCATTTTTTAAACAAATAGATTCAAAATTAATTTTTTTCAATCATATCCTAAACAAATACTCGTATAATGTTTTTTAAGGTGAAAAGAGTTACGTATTTATTAATTGAAAGCTTTGTTATACATAAAGAGAAGAAAAATATTGAATTAGAAAAGAATATTATTATAAAACAAAAATCTAAATTTCATATTTAAATATATTCGAAAAATGTCATCCTAAAATATTTATATCATATTTTCTTATCTAAAATTAAGTGAAATAAATCACATGATAAATACATATATCAAGTTTTTATATGAGTCTCATTTTTATATATAAAAGATTTATTAAAATTTTAATAATTTTATTTTGAATAAAAATTGAAATTCTAATTTAATCTCATGTCAAGTATTATTTGTAGTATATTAATAGTATATTAAATTGTTAATTTCACGTTGAATTGTTTTTTGAGTTAATGTTAAATATTTATTTAAGTATATTATATATTTACTTAACTTGTAATTGATTGTCTTTCATTAATTTTTTTACAAATTATTTTTTTAGTTTTTTGATTATCTTACTTAAATAAATGATAATTTAACAAAAAATAGAGCCACATAGATATTGCCACATGTCAATTTTTTAAAGAGTCATAAATGTGATGGAAGATGACATGTAAAATAAATAGCCTAGTAGACATTCCACATGTCAAATTTCTAGAAGGTTAACTCTCTTTTTTTATATATAAAGATTTTTTGTTTTAGATTGTTATTTTCTTTTATTTGGTGTTGTAGTTTTGTTTAAATCAATGGAATTATATTGTGTACTTGTAATATTCATTATGGAATAAATATTGTCAATTTTTTGTTCTAAAAACTTTGAATATCACAACCCTTTAGATTTTTTTAAACATAAATATACGTTCAGTCAAAAAATGATTACATTTTTTTCAATTGTTCACTATGAACTTTAATTTATAAATGATTACATTTTTTTCAATTGTTCACTATGAACTTTAATTTATATGCAATAAAAGTTGTTTTGATAATCTAATAATATTTTTTTATTAAACAGCACAAGTCCAAAAGTGCCTATTAGTTACTCCCTCTGTCCCATTTTAAATTGTCTGTTTGTCTTTTTTCTCCATCCCAAAATAAGTTGTCTGTTACTTGTTTTCGTAAACTTTTAGGAGTAAAATACCTAAACTACCCCTAAAATTAGTCACTCTTCACCACCCTATCTTCATATTCATCGTCAACCCTTCTAAAAAATAATTGCAATTTCAAAAAATCAATTCTATTTTTTCTTTTCCTTAAATATGCCCAAAAGTCAAAACACGCGATTTTAAACGGGACGGAGGGAGTACATTATAGGCAAAAATGTGAGGAGTAACTGAAATGGAGAAACAATATATACTTTAAGAAGTACTCCGTATATTAGAACGACTGCTTCATGAAGTGTAATACGGAGTATAAAACAATAGGAAAATTATGGCGAAGACCAAATAAAATTTTGTATCATATTAAATGTAAAACGGGCCACGAAGCATGAGAGTTGAACTGAACTTAAAAAGAAGCATCTGCCGGCAAGTAGAAAGGAACATGGTATGAGAGGGTATATTCCACTTTGAGATGCATGGAAGATCAAAATATAGATGCAAAGACTATTTAATCGTTACAGGCTCTTTTATGCACAGAATTCCAACCAAGGATATAATTCGAGAACCATCACCTGCCTACCAAAAACTTAGAAAGTCTGAGCATAAACTCAAAGCTGCTCCTATGCAACGTAATGCTTAGTTGCCTCGTCCATTTAGCACATGCAATGCAAGTTTTCTTGAGGCCCTCCTCTTGAAAAGCTTGCTATATACATAACAGAAGCTGAAAATACAAATACATTAAAGAAAACATTTAATACAAACCAAAAAATCATTTGCAAATATATGAGGACCTTCATTCTAACTCCCACCTCAAAATTTCTCTTGGGCATTGTGTACTTACTAAGATTAGTGTTGGCCTTTAGATTATTTGACAATTTATTAATGTGTAAAACAATTTGATGCTCACACGCTAAAAACAAACATTAGAGGATGTAAGTTTTTTCTCATTCATCGACAACTATGTGATCAAATTAGTATAGTGCATGATGCTTAATGTCTCAATGATGTGAATTTGTGATGGAATTATGAGCTCATATTCACAACTGAGAGAAATTCATTTTATTGCCATTAAAGGAAGAAAGTTTTTTTTGTTAAATAGCATAGGGATACAGTTTATAAATATATTCCAAGCATAGAGCGAGTTCAACATTGTACTTATGACTTGAAGTAAAGCCTCCCCAATAGAGTTTTCCTGCCAGGTTTTAGAATAACATTACATATCCACGACAAAAGCACCTGAAAATACATATACATGGTCTTTACTACGTAGTACAGGATAAATTTAATATAAACCTGAATGAGCATATGCAAATATATGAGCCTCAAAATATGATAATCTACTTCGTAACCCCACACTCATTCATTTTTTATGGTGTTGTTTGACTATTAAATTTTTTCAATTTCAATCATGGAATAATTAAAGAAATCATAATTACACACTTACCAAAAATACTCTGTCGATATGTTTGGATCGGATGGAGGGTCATCTACTGACATGTTATCGCGTTGGCTAACAAAAAACATAGAGAAAAAAGAGTCACTGTCAAGAGGAAAATAATCAAGAAGCAATAAAATGTCAAATTTGAAAATAGCATAATAAGAATAATTAGGAAGTAATAAAATGTCTAAATTAAACTCAAAATAGTTTCTGTCACTTTTCTTCACCTACGAAAAGTTGCAATAGCATGCCAGAAATATGATTTTTTGTATTTTAAGTATTTCCTGGTCTTCTAAAATTAAGCTCGACATAAGATGTTTCTAATAGACTGGAATTGGCATAAGGCATACCTGTCTTATCATCTTTTTGCATGGGTCATTGATAGCCGTAATATTATTTACACAGCTATAGCAGTGATCAAAAGCATTCCTCTTATAGTCTATTAAACAGAGAATGGATCACAATTAATTATTGTGTAAAGTTCTTTTAATCAATATTCACCATAACTTTTGATCCAGATCAATAAATAGTAAATCAAAATGTGATAGTAAAGAGTTTAAAAGTTCAATATCCTTTGCTGGACTCATTTTACGATCATACTACCATTAGGAAGGATAAGAAAATGAGCAAGTGTTAGGAAATGCCCTTAAGTGATTTTAATAAAGTAAACTCACAAATTCTCATATATAATATGTGCTGCATCGAGCTTTCAAAGATGCATGCATTCCAGCTTTAGCAATTGTTAATGTCTGCTGCTTCATAACTTCATGTATAGCCAGGCAATCTTGGAACACCACTATCAGCAAGAACCATGGCATCAATCTTTAGTATTCTTTCTCCGGTTCCAACTAAAAAAATTGCCAATTTTTAGTAAATATAACTTTTTAAATTCTTGAAATAATTTGTGTTCATAGTGAGAGTGTGAATATGGCACCAGAAATTACTCATGTTAACCTCTGAATAATGACACCACCAATTGCTCAAAAGTCGAATCTCATGACAACAACCTTACTTTCTTCAAATAATCAACGTAAACCTGCAACCATTCTTCTAGTTCAAGAGACAAAATGATTATTATAAGTGAAAGAAGCTCACATATACATTCAATTGTTGAATAGCAACTTCAGCATCCTCCACTCTAAACATCGTCACAACTCCAAAGGGGTGTAGATTTTGGAATTGCAGACTAATTTAAATTTTAAAAAAAATGCATATGAATTTGGGTAAAAAGCAATTTCAATACTAATTTAGGTAAATAAATCATACTCCGTATGAATTTAGGAAAAAATGCAATTTCAAATGATATTTTTTTAATTGCATATAATTTTAAGAATTAAAACCAACCACTTTCTAGCATGTAATTGCTTGTTAATTTAAGGGGGAAATCGCATTCAAATTTGGGGGAAAATGCAAATTTGGTAGGGGTTAACATGAATTTTGGCATAGAAACAAATCCATTTAAAACAAATAGCTTCCAGATCCGCTAGAGAGTTTTTCCAATGGAGCAAGAAA